ATAATAGTTTATCAATTGAATCGGTATTGGTATTCCCATAATAGTATTAACAAATTTGTGCACTTTATCAACATCTTGTCTACTCCAGTCAATTATCTTTAATAGTTTTTTAATACCAACATCAAAATGTTTTTTCTTGAGAGCGTCAAGTGCTTGCTTGGTATGAATAATTCCAGGCAGTGAGTGATGGTTGCTAATTTGGTAACAGAAGATGAATAAATTTTAAATATAAATTTTAATTGTAATGTAATGGTTATATGGTATTTTTTAAAATTATATCATTAAATCATAATATTTTATTTTTTAATAGAAATTTTCAATTATAATAGAAATGCGAAATTAGTAAAATTTTATCATATCATACAATAACTTGCAACAAATTTTAGAAATTATATATAAAATATTACGAAATTTTACTTAGACCCTTATAACTTTTTGCTAACAAAAAATCTGGCTGCAACGAATTCATTTCTTTTTTTTTCTTGAGAGATAACCTACCCAACTTTTGCTTAAAGTCATTAAGTTGCCTAATTGCAAATGTATTTAAACTAAGTAAAGAAATTCCTTTTTAATTAGAGTTTCACACTTGCGGCAAATTTGTGTTTGAAACGAGACGAGATTGTATAAATGTATTTTCTGGTTGATTAGTATTATTAATGTTTGCTGGTAATGTTTTTATTAAAAGAAATGTGACTCATGTCACCAGTAATGGTTTTTGACCTAATTAATAAATTAATGCATTTAAATATATATGTCAAATTGTTAAATTTAAATAATCATCCAATATTACGTTATTTTAGAATCTTTGTTTATGCTTACATACCATAGACTACCAGTGATCCAAGCAAGTTGTCTCGTAAATTGTAAAATATGAAGCTCAGCTCCTAAATAAATAAGAAAACTTTGAATCAAAGCGACAACGCCTATATAAACCATGCATGATTGGGAACCATTGGTGTAACCTTTTAACCATATTTAGTATTATATTAATGGAATGGGCTAGACCAA